TGGCTCCTGAGAGGAACAGGAGTAGCTTCACAGAAGAGGAAGCCTATGAGAGGAGCCTTGAAGGATAAGTAGAAAATTCCCAGGTTGAGGGATGAGGGAGGCGGAGGTGCTGGGTGGGCAAAACGGTACCAAGGGACCATTGGTCCGGTTTTGCACACCCAGAGTTTAGGGCCGGGTCATTGCCAGCCTGAATGCCAGGCTGAGGGGCGAAGCTTTGCTCTATACAGAATGACTGGCTCTGTTTCTCAGCTGGAAGGAGGCATGGCATTCTGTGGTTATTGCTGTCAACGTAAGGTTGAAAGGCTGTGTTGTTCTTTCCAGGTATGCGCTCAGATTAATTGCTAACATTGGGAGGGGGTGGGCTCCTGCACACAGTAGGTTGACGTCCTGTTTTGAAAGCTCAATTAGATAGGAGCAGGGTCCTGTGCCAGTGCCCACCAGGACACCAAGCCTCTGAAGCTTCAATAAGCTCTTAAGATCCGAGTCTTGGAAAATCTACCTCGGTTGGAAGTCCAGCTCCACTTAGACATGTCTTTCGAGGCGTGTGTTACCAGGTAACCAGGAGAGGCAGCGAGTGCCACTTTGTGAGAGGGACAAAGAAGGGGGGCCTCGTGCTCAAAAGCCTTTCAAGCGCAGGGAGGGGCTGGGGGCGCAGGCTGAGGGGAGCGGGATTAAGCTGTTCCTCATTCTACGCGGTAAGGTGACTATTAGCATAAATTACAAGGGCTGTTCTGCCGGCTGATCATTAAACTCTTGGTGTGGCTTTTTCCTGCAGGCAGATGGGGTCCTGGGGGATGACTTTTGATATTCTTTCTTTCTCTAGCACCATTAACTTGAAAGAAATCTCAGAGGCATTGGGAAGATCTTTCCTTCCGGCCATCAAGGACGCAGCTGATGGGGTGGGGGGACGGACCACTACACGCTATAATAATATCGGTCCCTTTCATGTGCACAGATCCCACAGTTAGTGACACAGTCACATTCATTCTTTCCCTTCACCATGGAGGACGAGGGCCAAAGTCATCGTCTTCATGTGCAGATAAGGAGGAAACGCTTCGCAACTCGCCGGAGCTCCTGTGCTGGGCATTTGAGATTCCCTCGGTACCATTTTGCCCACCCACTGCTTCCTTTGTTGGGGCACACCTGGGTGACCATTTTCTGTTACCTGGTGGGTAGATTTGTGCTGTCCCAGCATTTCCAGGGCTGTTGCCGGCACAAACAGCAGGAAACAAGTATTGAGCAAGGAAGGGCTAGAAAGACAAAGCCAGCACGTTCAGACTGGACCGGCCAGGCACCATCCTCCCTCTTGAAAGCCATCTGACTCCTGTCAAAGGCAGGTAGACGGGAAAGCCTGGCTCTTCCAGGAGTGTGGCAGCTCTGGCAGCGGTGAGGCTTTGCCCCGGGCTCGCCCGAGGAAGGGCCATGGCCTCTGGGGCCTCCCGAGAGCTCACCAGAGCCCATGAGAGCAGTGATGGCGAACCTATGACACGCGTGTCAGAGGTGACAGGCAAACTCATTTTTTTAGTTGATTTTTCTTTGTTAAATGGCATTTAAATATATAAAATATATATCAAAAATATGTCTGTTTTTCAAAACATTTCTATATGTGACACAGCACCAGAGTTAAGTTAGGGTTTATCAAAAT